TCAGCATCACACTGCAGCTGGAGCACAGCTCAGGGTGGTCTGCAGCAGCAGGAGGGAAGGGAGGCAAGTGAGGAGGAGAAGGAAAGGAAAAAAAATAATAATTATAGAAAAAACAAAAAAGTAACTCAGCTTGAATTCAGAGATGAGAAAGATGCAGTTACATGCTTATTATTGTTTACCCTAAGTTCTTTACTTCTTTAGTGATTGAGGTTTCCACTGTGCCAGGCAGGGTACCAAAAAGTGATTCTTGCCCACAAAGAACCTCCATCCTAAATTTAAGGCAGGAGAGCAGCAGCAGATCCAGGCAGGTGGAGGAGTGTGATGAGACAGTAAGGTGGTATCGATCTGCGATATAACCAGTGGCCTCAGCAAACCTCCTGCTGTGACCACTGCAGTGCATCTAGTTTACTGTCGTTATCATTGCAATTAATGTATTTTTTTTGCAATACAAGGTTAATGATCTAACTGTATGGATCATCCACTCTTCATCTCATTTGTTGTACTCTTTAGCAGTTATAATCTGCACCAATTTTGTATTATAAAGAACTAATTAACAGCAAGATTATTTTTCCACTGAATGTCATAGGAGTTTTTGCCAGGGACAACAGCGTTCCCGTACCTTAATTCCTCAGCAAAGTTTTTATTCTGGGCCATGTTCTGAAACTGGTGAGCTGAGACATTGCACTCACAGTGTTATGTCGTCAGGCAAAAGATTTAATTCAGAACAAGGTAGCGTGAGTTGCAGGTAGAATACGTTCTCCATTAACTCTGTGTTGAAAAGCTTGCTAGCGATTTTCATTTCCTGTGTTTATGAGTGTCGTACTTCAGGTTATTTAGAAGCAAATAAAGAAAAGCAAGAAGCAGAGCTTGCAAGAATGGCAGATACAGAAACCGTACAAAACTACTGCTATAAACCTCATCCTGCCATCTCTGAAGCCAATAGAAGAGCTTGCTCCTGCTTTTGTGTCATACTATTAATTTCTTGGGTCTTCTTTTTCTTTTTCTTTTTCTTTTTCTTTTTCTTTTTTTTTCCCCTTTTCTTTCTGATTTATGCTGTTCGTAGCCATAGCCCGGGTGAGCCAGTGTCACCTGCTTCAGCAAGGGCCCTGACGTACAGCATGTGTCTGAAGTGTATGTATTCCAATATTAACCAACTAGGTTTTGTTCTTATTGAGCAAAAGTGGCAACTCTGTATTGAGAAAGACTAAAGGGCCAACCATGACCATCTCTCTATTGATCCTTCAGAGATTTTGGTCCACGATGTATAGCTTTTATTAAATAATATCAATACTTGACAAGTGATGCCTATATTGTCCTCCTTTCATTTAGCAATATAGACATGAGTATTAAAAAAAAAGAATTGTGCTTGATGAGTTTTTGTTTTAAGAAGCTGTTATATTGTTGTAAAATGGCCATGGTGCTGGCAGACTTTTAACAAGTTTCAAATAAACATGCCAGAAATAATTTTGTTGACAGCATCTTGGATTGGAGGACATCCAGCCTTCATCCATAACATGTCAGTACAGTGATTCTTTCACAGGCAGGAAAATATGTCATCACAGATCTGGTTTTTAGAGTCTTAAAATACTGTAGATGTCTGGATTTATGGCTTCAAAGTCAACTTCGCAGGTGGGTAGCATTATTTTTCAATCATAAATGAAGATGAAAGTGATAACATTTACAGTTTTTAATATGCAGCATCAATGAAGTGTGCTTATGTTAAAACCTGCGGTAACATCTGTTTTACTTCCATAATCCAAAAGCAATTAAGGTTTTATGTAAGAGAAAGAAGAGGGTGGAAAAAAACAGCAATGGAAAAAAAAAAAAAAGGAGAAAAACCAGGCTGAAGGGCTTTATCTTTTTGGTGTCCCTGCCCGTGGCAGTGGGGTTGGAACTCAATAATCTTTAAGGTCCTTTCCAATCCAAACCATTCTATGATTCTATGATCTTGCTTGCAGAGGTCATGCGGGCATTGTGTTTGTTCTTCATGAGATGCAGAGAGCAGGTATTATGTTTGCTTTGTTTATTCCCATTTGTGTAATATGCCCAGATTTCAGTATCAGAACCAAAGTGATTTCTTGAGGATTACCAGGCATGGTTCACACGGGGTATCTGCGCGCTGGTTGGTTTACGTCTCTGTTTACATCTGCAAGCTGGGATCTCTCAGGAATGGGCAAGTTACAGCTTTGTGCTGTGCGTTGGAAACAAATGCTTTGAGGTGCCACTTCAAGAACGTTATTTATGTGCTTGAATTTGTACCTGCTTAGGGCTTAATTAAACACTTTCATGGCTTGGGTCCCCAGCACAGAGGCTTTCCTGAGCAATGGGAATGGGCAGCTGATGGCTGCTTGTGGGAGCTCCTGTTGAAGGGGTGGAGGTTTGCTGCCAAGGGCGTGGGGTGTCGTGGACCAGGGGTGAGGCTGTAATCTCTTGTAAGTAAAGCCTGGTCACAGTGACCCAGCAACATCTCTTGGAATGACAGAAATGCAGATAAGAAAGCTCTAAGGCAGCAGTGCTATTGTATGTATGGCACGATGTGTGTGCAGCAGTTTTTACTGTAAGTGATTCCATCGCAAGAGACTTCACGTGACTGAGAAGAACAAAAAACCTGCTTTCCGAACCTGTGCTGAATAGAGCTGTTTACCTTTCTTTGAAATGTCATTTATCTCTTCTTGCTTTTTATCAGAGGAAATTTCCTGATGGAATTTTGCAAACAAGGTGAAAGCATTCCTTTCTGCTTCCTTGCAGTGTATTAAACCCCAAAGTTTTGTTTATTAATAGTGTTCCTCTTCTTGACACACTAGAAATTCCCAGTCTTTTTTGTTGTGATTTTGCTCAAATATTGGTTGGATGACTGAAGAATTAATGATGTGATAATGGATTCAGTGGAAGTATTGATATCCTGAAAGCTTAAGGATGTGTGTGGATTTCTGTCACACTGGGACCCATGAACAGGGGAACCTCACTTAATGCAAGGTTTTATTAAGCTTTTGGATTACATCTGGGTTTGTAGCTCTCTTTGGAGCCTGTGAACTATTTTTTTTTTTTTCAATTTTAAAATTTTGGACTATTCGGAGGGAGAGGATTGTTAGATTATTTTTGGGAATGTGACTGTTGCCATCAGTCCTGTAGTGCTGCCTCTGTCTTACCTCTGTCCTTCAGACACTGTGAGGGCTTGGTTGGATGGAAGCACCGTGGCTTCTCAGCTGCTTCTCCCCAGTTCTGCTGTCATCCCTCTGGGTCTCACTGTGCCCTGCTGTGAAATGAAGAATATTTCTGCCACTTATTAAGAAGTCCTGGATTCTTTTCCTGGCTTTGTTTCTCATTTTGTGTGTGACCCTGGGAAAGACACAGACTCTCTTTTGAGCCTATTTGTATCACCTGAGGAACAGGGACTAACAGTTTCCTAAAAAAAAAGGTGTTAGGAGGCTAAATTAGAACTTGTATTGGTGCTTGGGGTGAAGATGCTATAAAAATGCCAGTATATATATTCTTTCTTTTTGCTTGTTGGCAAAATTGCATTTCTCAAGGCTCCTGACCTACTTTTCCAATTTTTCTCCAGTAAGAATAATAAATTATAAGTTTGTTCCTTGTAATTGTTTTTCATTTCAAATAGAAAGCCAAGTGCAAATGAGGGGAAGGCAAGGAGGGGAGGGGGTGCCAACCTCTAACCCTCTTTGCCAGAAGGAAGAGAACCATCATGTCTTTTCCAGAACTAGAATAAATAACGAAATACAGATACTACTACAGGTGTTTAATGCCTCAAACCTGGCTTTGCATTGCAGATTTGTAGCCCTTGTAACGGATAGATCCCCAAACATATAGGAAGAGAGTCTTAACATTATATTTTTTGTGAAATGGATTCTTGATATGGGAAAAGTTGAAAAATATTTTCCAGCATTTTCCGAGATCAAAACTGTGAGGTTTTCCTGACCTGCCTGTTCAAGTCACTTTGCTGTGTACTAGCAGGTCTGTCTTAGACCTACCATCCCTCATAATGAAGGAAATGAGGCAAAAACTCTAAATTGATGAGATAGACAAGGAGGAGGAGCATCCAGAGTTGTTCTGGCTGTGAGGCCAGATCCCTCAAGTGAGTTCAGCCTTCCAGGAAAGTGGAGTGCACTGATATTTCATACAGTTCATGGGGATGCTTCAGTGCATGCATGAAATCACATTTAATACACAGTGCTGAGGGGAATCCAGCAAAAAGCATAAAAGGGATAAAGTGCAGTAAATATTTAAGATCTTATGAGTGCCAACACAGCACTTCATAAAAACCTCAGTCTCAGGAGCGGGGGTGCTGTATACATCATAGACAGAACATATGGTGCAACCACAATGAAGTCAAAGCTGATCAGTGAATAGTGATAGAGCTTTTTATTCTAAAGTTTTTAGGATGTGATTAAATTTAATGTGTATGCTAGACATTAAGCCTAGGACATCTTCATGTCCTTAGACCTACCAACCTAGGAATGCATGCAAGGTGACCTGAGGACATGTGATGTTTTTCTGGGAAGGCGGAAAAGTTCGCTATGGGGATATCCTTATTGATTTTTACATCCGTACATGCCCATGAGAGTTGTTTATCTTCCTGTATTCCTCTCTGATATCTTATTACAAAAGTCTCTTGAAAGTTACTGTAAAGCTTTTTATTCCCAGACTTAATGAGGGTTGGTAGGAAATGGGGTTTCAATAAGTGAGTTTGGATGAGTACTGGTGTGGGCGGCTGGTGCTTGTATGCAAGGAAGTGATGGGAAATGTAGGTTACACTACTGGGCATCCTATGGGTGCATTGCATTTATTCTTTGCATAATATGGATTCAATTAATACCACAAGGTATTATAATGACATGAATTGTATTAGGCTTACATGTTTCTTCCACCATGGTCACGGGGTGGATGGTGTGGTTCTGTGGACATACTTTGCTGCTTGGATTCTGCTGTTTGTTTCCTTATCTAAGCACTTTCTCTAAATGTTCGCTTTCCTTTGATGTTTCTAGGAGCTGGTGGGGAGTAATCCTCCACAAAGAAACTGGAAAGGAATTGCAATTGCCTTACTTGTTATTCTCGTTATCTGCTCCCTGATTGTCACCTCCGTTATACTCCTGACACCAGGTATTTATAACCTTTAACTCACTTCCATTCTGTTTTTCTTTTGTAATTTTACACTTCCAAGGGTAAAGGGATTGCAATCTGACTGCAAAGTCACCATCAAAGGAATCATCCTTCCTGTTCTTTAACTTGATGTGAGCTGAGTTCAAGGCCGTTACTAGGTAGATTGTTTTAGAGTTTTACATTTCAATTCAAAGCTGAGGGCTGCTGCCTGAAGGTACAAGGGTGAAACTTGGTTGCCTAAACATAGATAGGAAGTGTCATTTTAGATGTGCTGGGATATGAGAGACAGCTACACAGGGCAGTCAGTTAGGACACAGGAACTCCTGAAGTTCATGCCCACTTGGAGCAGCAGCCACCAGTTGGGTGGCATATCTTAGACCATCTAAAATAGATGCCTATGCTAGGAACATAAATCCCATTCTGTTCAGCTATATTGGTTTTTAAATCAGACCATAGTGTTCTGGCTTTACAAAGGAATTTTAAACAACGATGTGCTAGATAGCACTTAATGACAGCAAATAATTAGTAACTTTGCAATAAGGGATTCTCTGTGTTAATCTCCTTACCAAGTTTCAGCAAAGTTCTGTGCACGTAACCTCTGTAAATTACTTTTCTTACAGTAGCTGCTGAGGATGTAGGCTTGAATTTTAATGTGATATCATTATGATTATTGATTATTACATATTTATGCAGCCCTGTAAATTTCCATGACTACTTACAGAGTAGAAATAATGTGCTTTCATGGCTCTGAAAATCTTGTGATCTGAATACGAAAAGACAAACGGATGAGAGACAAGACAGAAAAGATAATTCAGTGTCAGAAAGGATTAGGAGCTACAGAACACCAAAGAAGGCAGAAGGTTGCCTGCAGAGGGACGTAGTGGAGAAGAAAAGGAGCATCTTCTTGGATGAGTACATGCAAGTGATTCTAGGGGACAGCAGGACAGATAGCACAGAGCCGAGGAGAGGAATGAAGACAAGGGAGAAATTAAACCATAGGAAATGGGAGAGCACAGGATGGTGAAGTGGAAAAATGAAATGGAAGTTGTGGGGCAGAAATTTCTAGCTTGTAGCATGTGAACTGACGTACAGTTCAGGACACTTGGGTCATCTTCCCTGACACAATTCTTATTCCACAGTCCTGCTGTATGGTAGACTGGAGACAGTGATAAATCAAGAAATACAGGACTGCACTGGGTTAATCTGAAAATGAGTGAAACAGCATGTTATCCTTTTGTTTATTTATTGTCATGCCACATTCTGTTTATTTCATGCTATACTGAAGTTTTCTATGTAAATGTAAGTAGCACATAGTCATTCCAGAGTAATTAAGTAATTAAATTAATTAAGGTTAAAGATTATTAAAGATCATTTTTTAAATTGCTTTCACTAGGGTTCAGATTTAACACCTTTGGACAGTTCAGTTCATCTGTGAGATGTTTTGAGGCATAGTCTGTGGACTGTGCTCATATCAGGCACCACTTATTTGCCATGATAAATATCGTCCCTCACCCATTAGGTATGGAAATGTCACCATCTATTTTATGAGAGTGCAGTCCAAGACTTTTCAAAAGTGTACATTGAAGCCTAGATACCTAAACCCGTACCTGTGGGCTTCAAGAAGCTGTCAGTTGAAGAGCAGGATTCCATATATAAGGATACATGAGGATGACATGAACATACCTGTACAGCCCTAAATACATTCTAAGTCACAAGTCTTTCCTTTTGTGTGACCACCTGTAATAAGGATTTATTTAATATTTATTTAAATAAGGGTGTCAGAGTTATATCTGGTGAGGACTTGGCAGCTCTGGTTTCGATTCTGGGCTCCACTATAGACCTCATTTAGGGCTTTTCTGAACCCTACTCCCACTTGTCCGTAGAGAAAATTACATGTAAAACCACTAATGACTATTATGACTGCAGTGCTCTTGTACAGGTAGTATGTATGCACACACGTGTATACATTGAAATTATAGTTATTAGTATGTACTTAGCAACAACTCCAAATAGCACCTTGGACAGAGTCTCTGTGCTTAAAATTTAGGAATATGCAAAGCCTATTGTGTGATAAAATTTCCATTCATGTTTTTAGAGATTTCTATTTACCTGATTTGCTGTTAAACTGGGTTTGAGTTGCTTTATTTCCCTGCTGGTGTTTCAGAACTGTGTCCTACATGTAAATCCAACAACTCTGAGCTCAGTACTGCTGCTGTTTTTATCGTGGATCCAGACTGCTTCATGGTGAGACTCTGCCAAGGGTAAAATAGATAGGTTAGGTTGCTGCTGTGGCTTGGCAGCATCTGAGTTTACTCTTCTCTTGGGCCACTGGCCCTGGAGCTTGTTATAAGGACACACTGTGACAGGGGGCTCATTTCACAGGCATTTCCCACCAGCCAGTGCTAAGTGAGACATAGAGGCTGGCTTGACAAACGTAAAAAATATTACATTGCTAATCCTGACTGGGTATAGTATGTCCCAAAAAGGTAGGAGTGGGGAAAATGGAGGAGCCTGTCCAAAAGCAGTAGCAAAGTCTGCATTTACCTGACATAAAATAGTTCACTGGAAGAAGAAATTATTATCCTTTGATAGCCAAACTGAAAATTAAGTGATGGATATTTGAACAAGAAGTGAGGAAAGGACAGGGAAGGGAGGAGGTGAAGCAGTTTTGTGGTTGTTCATAGGGTGGGAAGCTGCTGCCAAGTGGCATCAGAAAAAAACCAACAACTCTTCACTGAAAATATCTTAAGGGGGGATGCAGTCTGGCTTGGACAGAGTACAGCATTTGAGGATGCTTGAATTTTTTTAAGTTTTCCTTCTGATGATAATGCTGGAGGCCAATGCTGGAGTCCAGCCTGACACTGTGCTGCTGGTACAAATGTCCTTCTGAATTTTATCTCTGAATTCCTTACTTGTATCTGTCTATCTTGGCCCTCTCCCTGCCTGGGAAACCATTCTTTGTAAGTATTTTGCTGTTGGTTTGAAGGCCTGTTTTGCAGTGCAACGTCAAGGCATGCAATGCAGAGATGCTCTAAACCCAGTGCTGAACATCGTGCAATACCTGCAGAGAGTTGTTTGGGACATAGTGCAGCACACAGGCTTGTAGTCCATGTTCAGACAAAGAAAAGTGTCTAACTGGACCCTTAACTTGCATCATGATGGTGGTGTTTCCCAATACTGCGAAAGTCAGGGCAGTCTCCTGGGTAGTCTGGAAAACCAAGAGTGGGTGGTAGAGTGGAGGATGAGGAAGGTTTGCTTAGCAGAACAGATAATGATTAAGATATTTAATAACTGAGGAAAAAATTAATATCTATATCTCTTCAAGATTCTTTTGCAAATCAGCCCAAACCTTTAAAGAAAGTTTTAACTCTGGGTTCAGCTTCAGAAAGGCTGAAATCCCCACTGGGAAACTAGGAACAGTGCTCTCTGCATTCAGCAGACACTGCAGTTGCAATAGCAGTGCTTTATTGCTAGCTAACGCTTAGGTCTTATTTTATAAAATCCTAATAAAACTTCAGCATTTCTATGATTTGTATATCCATTTGGTATTCTGGACCAACATTCTCAAAAGAAGCAGTAATTGGTGAAAGCTTGTGTTTAATGACACTAGAGTATACCGCATACGTGCAGCTCCCTATGCTGAAGGGCTCTGATTTCATGTGTGTGTGAGTCCTGCCATTCCACCCACCTTTGAAAAATGTGAAGCTATTTGTACAAATGATAAAAGCGTGGGACAGAGTCTTTCGTAATTAGTGGTTGCTCACTTGTTGCAGCATATGGCACCTGCATGGGTCCTGTCCTAGAAATGTCGTTTGTGTATTTACATAAAGGCATGCAAAAGTTTATAAATATGCATGTGTGCACACACAGACGTGCACATACCAAAGCTGAAGAGAGGACCCAATCCTACAGAAATTTTGATTAAAAAAAACCTCTCCCAAAAGTTCCATTAGACATTTTGCTTAGGAAAAGGCTGCTCTGTAGTCCCCTCTGTTTGGAAATTGAGGCAAACAAGGACTTTTTGCACATCTGTTCCTGATATTTAAAGCTTTCTGGAGATATACATCAAGTTTACTGCTTTCAAATCAGACTTTTAGCTGGGGGGGGGAAAAAAAAAAAAAAAAGTGACCCCAACTCCATATTAAAATTCTTACAAAATTAATAGGAAACATTTTTCAGAGTTGGTACGGAAGCAGTCATTGCATAGCATTAATTCACAGCATGCTGTCAGACAGCCAAATGCGTTGCCTAGTAAACTTTGTCTGATTTTTGCTAGTTGCAAAGAGTGAGGAAATGCCCTGTGACTAGCTGTGCAGGAGTGTAATTTGTTTGTTCACAATTGCTATATATGTAATTGTGTACTATATGCCACTAAAAAAAACCAAAAAAAAACCCGTGGGATTTTACAGAAGGGAGAGAGGCTGTTTGTTTGCCTTGTCTGGCCTCTGTCTTTTGGGTGCATGGAGGTCATCTGGGGGAAAAGGGGCTCAGGTTTGTCCAGGAATGGTCTGCTGAGGAGGGAAGTGAGCTCCTGGTGTGCTGGGTCAGGTCTGCTGAGAGGTGGATGTTCATGGACACACACTTACCCACGTGCTTACAGTGCACAACAGCCCAGGAGATATGTGAGAAAAGCATCTGGCATTGACCTGTAGCTGAGACCCAGGGATGACAGAAAGAAAGGTGACCACCCAAAGGTGACTGAAACCTTCTGACCCATCAAGCAGCCTGTGAGCATTGCTGGAGTTGAGAGGAAGCTTAAAAGAAAAGATTCGTACTGCAGAGGGAAAACAGGCAGGGAGGTCAGCTCATGGCCCTTTCCCGTTTGAGTTTTCTGGGTTTCAGGCAGATCTTTGTTCTGTGTTCTGGTGAGCAAGGTTTTATCAGTTCAGCCTTTTTGGGTGTGCTGACTTCAAGGATGAGGTGCAGGCAGATGAACCCAAAAGGTCTGACCAACGCAGGGTTCCCATCATGCCTTTAACAATTAATAAAAAATAAAAAGGACATGGTTTTCACTTGGTTCTCTCAGCATGTGTCTTTGCTGTTTGGTTGGTGGGTTCCTGATTTGGAACTCAAATCACAATTCCTTGTGCCACCTGTACCACTGCCCACGATGCTGCGCTGCCAGGCCCCGGTTGGCATCTGCCATCTGGGTCTGCGGTGGGCAGGGGACATGAGTGCAGAAAAAGTGGTGGCACATGCTTGATCTTCTCCTTCCTTGAACCCAGGGAGGTGGGACCCAAAGTCTTTGCAGCTGGGTGTGGACACAACTTGTGTCTAAATGTCTCCACGGGGGCCAGAGGAATGGAGCAGGCATTCTTAATGGATGTTCCAACTTGTTGGATGAGAGATCAGTAAATCTGAATTTTTCACTAAAAAGAGTTGATTGGTTGATTATTTATTTGTTTTCTCCCCAGCTCTATGGCTGAAATTAATGTTGTCTGCGGTTCATTATGGAACCTATTGCATCTATTACAGCCCACTGCAGGAGACAGTAGTCAAATCTCAACAAGAAACGTGCCTTAGGGAGGCTCCTGGGTTTGCATGCTTCGGTTGCTACCTCTCCCTCTTCCTGCTGTCCCTTCGAAGGCCTTTGAAGTGCTGTGAAGGTGTAGAGGTGGTGCAGCTTCCAGACTGTCCATCTCCATCCTGCACAGAAAGAGGGCTGTGTGTGGGCTCCAACCTACTGCCTGATCTCCCCTGGTATCCACTGCTGGGACCTTGCTCCATGGTGGGAACTAATTGGAACAGTTTCCTGGAGTTCCTCTGGCCTATATTTTCCATTTTAATAAATAAAATTATGCAGAAGAACTTGGCATCATGCTGTCACACGGAGGGATTTGGCTAAGGACTTGTATTAATTGTGATATTTGGAAGACACATTGAGCAGTGTGATTAAAACCTCAGCCAGACTTGAACAAAATATAAAAATTGAAGAATATCCTTTAATTTGGTCAAAATGATAGTTTATGCTGAAATACTTTTGAGTGGAACAAATCATTGTTCATAGGTAATTTTCAGTGGTCTCACGTAGCTCAAGGGCTTCAATTCAGTGTGGTAGATGACTTTTTCCATCTAATAAATTACTTCAGAGAGTCTGTTTCCACTGTTTCTAGTCATCACCAGTGTGTTCAATGTAACAAGTTTTGTACTAAACAATGTTAAAGATACCTAAGTCTGCATGATACCAATAGACCTCAGGCATGAGGATTCTGTAGTGAAGAGAGATGCTGAAGCACACATCCCTGCTGTGAAATACTCAGAATGTGGCCTCACACGTTCCTTTAAAGAGGAAATATGTTTAAAGCTGACTGAAAGGTTTCCATGAAAATATTTTTTCAGAAAAAAAATTAAAAGTTGGAAAGAAGTTATTCATAGAAAGTGACTGCTTGTCATAACAAAAAGTTACTGTTGGGAGACGAAAAGAAAATGAATATGTTATGAATCAAAATTGTTGGTTTCAGTTTTTCTCTAAAAATTTCAGCTTTGAGAAAATAAACCATTTTCCTACTAAGCACCCAGTATAGGCTTCAGCAATGTAATATATATACTCTTCATCTGTGAGGCCCAAGAACCCATTGTTTCAACATAAACACTTTGGTTACAGGCTCAGGAGCTCCTGTGTTGTGTTTATGAGAATTGTTACATAGCGGAGAGGTGGTGAGAGAAATGAGATGGTATAATTCTGGTACAGGAGAAGATGCTAGCTGCAACAAACTTCAAGTTAAATTTGTGCCTTTGTTTTATTCCGTTGGACTCCCACAAGTTTAGTGTTGGTGACATCCTAGATGAGACAGATTTCCTTGCAACAATAATATACACGCAGAAAGAAATCAGTTCTGCATTTTCTTCAGATTGTGCTTTGCATCACAAATCTGTTGGCAATCTCTGACTGAATCATGAGAAATGTGGAGAGGACTATATGAAGGATAGTGGAGGAAGACATAGAGCAAGAATTTATTTGTGGGGAAAGCAGAGTACTACAGAGTAGACTTAGGAAGAATGAACTAAATAAGGGACATATTATTACAGGTTGATCTTACAACATCTTAAACTGGCAGTCTGGTTCTTCAGTGTAAAAGCTGTCCAGACTTCCACGTTTGCACATGAAACTGTATATGCTTTCACTAAAAATGAAAATTAGTATGGGCCAGCTATGCAACACCTAAGAATTTAAGGTTATGTCTCATAGATTTTTCAAAAATATTTCTGCAGCCAACTGGTTGATTCCCATGGAAAGTCTTCTGTGAATTCCTGAAGTAATCTGTATGAGCCCTTATAAGGCTACATACCTTTCCAACTGTGGTTCTGTGTGACTGCTTTTAAGGAAATAAAAATATAAGCTATAAAAACTGGTCACTTTAAATTATTTTTTAAAAATTTAAGTAATTTCAGAATAGCCTTACTGTTAAGTAGCCTTAATATTCTTCAGAATCGTCTTAATTTTATAGCACTGTGACATTTATGGGTGTGTTTTCATGACTTTTAAAATATTTTTTAATCTTTTTTTGTCCAAAAATATGTGTTTTGGACCCCATCTTGGTCTTTTTGTAGTTGTTGAGTCCAGGCATAGATAACCAGGTTGTTTATGGTGTTGCACCACTATGTGGTCCTTTGGTAACATTGACAATGGGAAGGGGCTTACATGTGACAGAAAGCTGAACGTGAACTGTTTCTGAATGCGATATGACATGGCAGAATTCACAGTTGCAGTTCTTTCAGATACATTTCAAAGTTGAAGTAATGGCAGTTTGGTTTTGAATGTTTTACAGTTGAAGATAACAGCTTGTCTCAGAAAAAGAAGATAACAGTGGAAGATCTCTTCAGTGATGATTTCAAAATCCATGACCCAGAGGCTAAATGGATAACTGGTGAGTGAGGCATGAACGTGTCACAGTGTCTTTGCTTTGCTTCCTCTCTCTCTGGGGGTCTCTTTTTTTATTTCCTTCCTTTAGTTGTCATGGTCTTTATTTTGCTCCTGAAATCACAGAATCAAGAAATGGTTGGGGTGGGAAGGGACCTCAGGAGATCGTCTTGTCCAAATGCTGCTCAAGCAACGTGAGCAAGAGCTGGTTGCCCAGAACCATACCCCAAAATTCAATCCTCAAATTCCTGTTCCAGCTTTCCTCCTGATAAATATGCAAACAGCAGTGCTCTGTTATTGTACTTTTTTATTTAGGGCTCTCCAGTGGGCTCAGGGCTAGGCATTGAAAACTACAGCCTTTGTCCCAAAGAGCTTACAGCATTCAGGAGGTGATGCAGCATGTGTTTGGAAGTAGTGGTTGGAGCATTACCAGTCATTATTTTACCATGAAAAACCTTCAGGTTTTGTATTCCCTCATCAAAACTTCTTCCAGCAGAGAGGTAAAGCATTGCTAAGCAACAGGCAAACAGTGGGCTAGCAGCAGCTGGGCTGGTGCGTGCACACAAACCACGTGTTCTTTTTATCCTCTGCTGCCTTACATTTTCTCGTCAAGGGAAAACCAAATACTACTTGAATTAATGCATGTAGTATTTGCTGGAGCAGAGCTGTTTGGGGGGATGTAGATTCCAGCTCTCACTGGAAATTGCTGCAGTCTGGACAAGCTTTGGTGAGAATGAAATGATTTGTGGTGTGCTGTTCATGTAGGTTCCAATCCAGCTTCTGTTATCATTGAAGATATTAATTTTTCTTTTTAATTTAATGGGGAACTGGGTCAAATCCTTCCTTGTGTTTGGCTTTCCTTGTCTGTTATGCCCATTGGGAACAATTTTAATACTTGTAATGAAAAGAGAAAGTGTTAAAGGGTAGTGCTGAATTAACACGTTCCTCAGCTGCCCCCAGCACAGCTGCCTCTGACTTCTCCCACCAGTTCAACTACAGGGGAAAGCAGTTGCAGACAATACGCACCTTCACAAACACAACTGATGGCCAGGAGCCCTTTTTCAGGTTTCAGTTCAGACGATGGTGCTTCCTATAACCACTGTCAGGGCATAAGGAGAGTAGAAATTTTAGCTGCATTGCAATTCAGAATTATTTGTCTAGCATCCTTTTTTTTTTTTTTTTTTTTAGCACCGATATCTCTAATGGCAATAATGAGGGAAGAGGTGTTTTGTTGAGACCTTTACTGTTATTTTCTTTATTTGCTAGAATATGAGGGAATGATAATGAATTAAATAATCTTTTACAGGAACAGAGAATGAAATATAGCCGTGGAGCTATGTATAACACCTCCCTCAGATGAGTATAGTTTTACATGGATGTAAGGCATATCTTCCACAAAACTGCTTTTTTCTGTGAAAAAGCAATATTTCCCATGCTTTTCCAACTATGATCACATACTGGTTCCATATAAACTTTTATTAACACTTCAGTCTTGAATGTTTTAAAATCCATCTTTGTCCTTCCATGTACTCTCACTGCAATTTAACACCAGTCTTGCCTGATCTGAAATTACAAAAATATTCTTTCTGTAAAGGACAAAGCACAAAGTAGTATTATGCAAACATGCATAGATATTTTAGAAAGGCTTGTTCTGTTGCTGTGCTACCAATACCACTCATACTGATAGAGAAATTTTATGAAGCCAATAGATATTCTGTAGATTTGCCCAAGGGTGACTTCACATTTAAGGGCAAGATGCTAATCTGCAATGTCATTCATCCAAGAACCCAAAGCCATTTTACAACATTAATGACTTTTCTGCATTGTGGTTGCTTTTCACAGCTTTCTCTAGCTGGATAAGTGCTGAAATCTTGATTAAGGACCCTGATAAGCAAGATGAAAGACCAGCAGCCTGATTCCTAAGCACACATTGCTATTGGTCTCTTATTCTCAGTTTTTAGAATGCAAATGAAAGACACTGAAAATGCCAAAACCAAACTAATAAAAGTTAGTATAACAAGAATGCTGGAATGGCTTAGCAGAAAAAAAAAAAAAATTAAAAATTGCATGTTTAAAATTGCATGTCAATTCACAAAATTATTTGACATGGGGTGAGAAATCCACACAATTGTTAAAATGTTAAGTAGTGTTTTCTATCCTTCTTCCATTTCTTCTCCTATTAATTTTGTTGCAAAATGTCAGTCATTCAGAGATCCACAAAATTCAGTCCTCTTGGCTCTTCAAAGTTCTGTTTCCTTCCTTTCCCTCTTCGTTATTGCAGAAGATGGGAGTTTGATAGCCTTGCCAAAGATGAAGCATGTTGCATGCTTAGGAGTATTTGAATCATCTGAGGGATTTGCTTCCAAAATCGTTCAGTAAGTAAAATATCTGTGTTCTTCCTGGGAAGTGAGGATCTGATTCAAACCCTTTGACTTGAAAGAGTCTTGGAGCAAATGTTAAAATAAAATTAAAAAAAAATTATTTCTATTCAGGTTGGCTCTTGAAAATATGCTGAAAGCTCACTGAAACTGATGGAATGAGCTGATGTTTAAGCATTTTCTTGATTCACAGTGGGTGAGTGGAAAAATAACGTACTTCTGATCGATAGCTCTGTCATTCCATTGATTTCAAAGGAGCTAAGGGGAAAAAAAAACAAAGGATGAGAACCAGTCTCAAAGCTGACATAACTACACTTTCAGTGCAAAGATTACAGGCTTCTCTAAGCTTTCAACCACAACTCATGGCTGGTTAGGGGATATGTTTACATCTTTTTTTTGGAATTGCAATTGAATTTACTTGCATGAAGTGAGAGATGTACCAAAGATGGAACTTTAAACCTCTTGCAATTTCTGTAGTGCCACTGTAATTTCAAATTCGAGTTTACATTTTTACCCAGTGGCTTAGGGAGAGTAAAGAATATTTTATTTAATTAGATGCTGTCTTCTTCTGCCCTGACCATTGCTGTCATTGACTCAGTTAAGAGTGCTCTGGAGAGGAACAATGAATTCATAGATTAGAACTGATGCTGCAGAGTTTATTTCTAATTCCACTTCCAGAAACCACTATCACTTAGATTTTCACTGTGGTGTAACTAAATGCTGGATTTATTGTGAACGTTTCACGCTTCAGGACAAGATAGTATGAAATAGTATAGTATATATGGTATAGTATAGTAGGTATATATACAGGAAATCTGAGATTGTGCTGGTGATCAAATGGCACCCCCCTACCTTGCAAACCAAGTGGAAACACCCTGAACTGCATCTCTGTTCTAGCCCCATCCATCCCGTGCCCCCTTCCTGCACTCTTCTGCTCATCACTCGGTACATCGCACCCTGTGTCATTCCGTTACCATCCTCTATTGTGAACTTCCCTTTACTGTGCAACTATAATTATCTTGTCCATATGCTAAGCATGCATACGAGCTCCAGTTAGCAGCTCATTTCATATTGTGTATCTTAAATGTTGTATTTGGACATTTCCTCATTTGCATATCCTCCTCCATACACTGTCAGGAGTGTCCTGTGCCAGCCCTTCGTTAGCCCTCGCGGATGACAGATGGCCCACTCGTTAGTCTGGTCTCTAACTGCTTAGCAGTTCTGCTCTCAAGCTTTACATTACTTTGTAATTAGGCTTCACAATTGCCAGGCTTTTCCTGTAATTTCTCTGACACAGGATTTCAGCTCAGGTTTCTGAAAAGCTTGCTGGGATGCTGCAGTATTCCCGTAATGGAGGACAAAACCAGGATAAAGAGGGGTGCTGGCATTTTGTGCTGAAGAGCAGCTCAGTCAATTGATTTATCCTGAAAACAATAATTCTTAGTCGTTACCTTGACCTGGCCTGAGAATCCCGTTGGGTTGTGAGTGCTGTCTTTATGGCCCTGTGGAGCTGCAGTGCTTCCTACCAGCTGTGGATCTGAGCCCCAGTATCTTGGGAGCACCCCTCCTTTTTCACAAGGAGGAGCATCGTGCCCAATGTCAAAGAAAGCAGCAGAGGCTGAATTGTATACATCACCTGTGGAGACTTATGCTTGTCTTCTGTCTGTACTTAATGGCAAATACATTTTGCCTACACTGAAAGTACTTGGCTGCTGTTGTAGTTAGAAAAACATAATAGCAGCCTATAACATACTGTCTGTGGTTATTGCTATTGATTGGATGCAACATGCCGTCGTTACTTACTTCTTGGAGGATGTTTTTTCAGCCTTACTGTTGGCACCTTGCAATACATAGTGTACGCAGCAGTGACTGTTGCCAGGATTTTTGGCTGTACATTAGCGACTGGAGGTTCCAACTAGGAGCGCATCTTTTTTGTGCTAGACACTGTCCAGACACGGCGAGACAGTCCTTGCAGAGGGGTTGTAGCCAAACAAAAAGAATAAAGGTTGAAATGATGATCACCGTATATTCAAGCAGTGAGGAGCACTGAGGCACAGGACACCAAAGGATGCGCTCAGGGTCATAGGAAGTTGACTAAAAGAAAAATCTGAAAATCAAGCCCTGTTCTCCATAGTCCCTGCCCACTTGCTTCACCTGCAACACTGGCAAAACAGTATCTATTCCTGCCTAAAGAGGAACAGTGGGTAAATTAGCAAATTAGCAAAAGGCTTGAATGGCATTTTCAGAAATGTCTGTTATTTGGAAACCTGCCACTCAGTGAGAGCCAGAACCGCCATGTGCCTAGCTCACATCTGAGAATGGCAGCTAGGCTGATATCTGAGAAGTCCTCCTGAAAAATGCACTAATAACTAATATCTAAATATAATAGAGTAATTATTTGCTCTTTAATACTGAAGCACATATGTTTTATTGCATGTTTTACTGATAACATCATAGAATCTCTAGGCACTTTTAAAGTCTAATATTGAATTAAATGGCCTAGAACTAATAATTTTTATTTACCATGCTGAAAAAAAATCATCATGTAGTCACTGAGGTAATTTATTTCAGTTTACCTTTAGTAATAATGCTCAGATCAACCATACTTGGATAGCCCAAATGCCCCCAA